AACCAAAATATAAAAAAAACATAGCAAGAGAAAAATGGAAGATAAATAGGATTGACACGTGAACGTAAACTTCTCATAACTGGAAGATAAATAGGATTGACACGTGAACGTAAACTTCTCATAACCATAATTAATTTTTAAATTGTTAAATCATGATATAAAACTGAGTTAATTTTTAATTTGTTAACTTTTATTTTTTAAAATTTTTTAAATCATTATGGCTATGTTAAATCATGACAATAATTAATTTTAAATTGTTTATTTGTATTCAAAAAACTTAAAATATTGCTTTTAAAAATAATTTTAAATTTAACATAATTTTTTAGAAAATTATTTGTAAAAAATATAATTTTTAAAAAATATAATTTTTAAAAAATATAATTTTCTAATATTATTAGACAAATAAATAAATTATATTAAATTAGTTTAGAAACTTTATATATTTTAATTGCAAATATTTTACCAATTGCTTCTTTAAAAACATTAGGGAATTTGCTATACTCTACCAATCAAGCCCAGTGACACTCCATTTATTTTCCATCACTCGAACACTGAAAAGTAAAAAGATATATGAAATCAGATCCATTAAATTCTAAGATTTGATTTACATTTCTAATTAAAGTTGTTTTTGATCATACGTATAGATAATTATATAAAAATTTCAAAATTCTAAAATTTCAAATACATACAAAAACAATCATATGTTCACCATGCGCAAGGCGCAGGTCTTATCCTAGTTTTCCTAGTATTAACTAATATAGTATCCTATTTTTATACAACTTCAATTTCATTTCCAAGAATCTATACATACAGAGAGACTTATATGTAAAGATCCCAACCCTCCACCGTCTCCCTCCTCCTCTCCTAACATGCACCATCTCCTCCTCGTCTCCGCCGAAGAGATGCCCCCTTCCTCCTCCTCCTCCTCCACATCAAGATCAACCTGCAAACATTCCCCGTCGGTGGCGACTCTCGACCTCCTAATCCTAATCCTCGTCCTCTTCTCCGGCGCATTCCTCATCTCCTCCTACTTCTCCTACCTAATCCACTCCTTATCTCTCCTCTCCTCTCATTTCCCTTCAATCTCCTTCTCCTCCCTCCTCCCTCTGATCCTCCTCTTCTCTGACCACGATTCTGAAGATGATGAAGATGATGATGACTCAGGAATCTCTCTGGCGTCGTTCTTGTTCGTGTTCGCGGTCTTCTTCGCTGCCTCGGTCGTTTTTCTAGACCTGTGTTGCGGTTTGAGATCGAGGAAGTGTTGTAACCCTAAGTGTAGAGGGTTGAAGAAAGCTATGGAGTTTGATTTGCAGTTGCAGACGGAGGAGAGTGTTGAGACGGGGTTGGGGAAGGAGATTGATCGGTTGCCGTGGAAAGGAGGGAGTGAAGGGAATCCTGATTATGAGTGTTTGAGAGCTGAGTTGAGGAAGATGGCTCCGGTTAATGGTCGGGCTGTTTTGCTTTTCCGGTTAAGGTGTGGTTGTCCCGTTGCTAAGCTTGAAGGGAGAGGACTTAAGAGAAGTCGCCGTCATAAAAAGTAAGTGAACTCTAAGACTTTTGTAATGTTTTGTGTTTGAACTTTTGTGATGTGCTGTGTTTTTGCATTGTGTTTGAACTTCTGGCTACATTGATCACTTGGAACATTTCTAATTCATCTTAGTTGTGCAACATTTTTTGGTGCCATTGATCAGTTCAAGACCAGTTACTAGTGAACGTCTCTGTTTAGATGGTTTTTTAGGCATTGGCAGGCTTTGAACCACTTGTTATCTCGATGATTGATAGTTTCTAGTGAACATGCCTCTTTTGACTAGTGAATTTGTGGATAGATAGTACTTTTGTGGTTATGGTTTTCACCGTTGTGCTTTAAATTTATGATTGGGTCTGAATCTTCCACTTGAGAATTGAAAGGGAAACAATTGAACATGGTTATAAAGTTGGATGTAATGTCTTGTCTGGTGTCCTATACCGTTATATTTGTTGAAATTAGTTAACGCACATGCAGCCTATATCATGGAACATGTGCATACCAGTTGTGATTCTAAATCTCCCTGGTTTCACTTTTTAAGTAGTTGTTATGTAATATAGCTCAACTGTTGATGAGATACCAAAAATGTTCTCACGTTAGGATCAGATTTAGAGTATGAAGTAAGGTATGAGTCCATTGCAAAAAGGGATTGGAGTTTCTTTTTTTGTGCAAAAAAAGGGATTGGAGTTATTCACAATTTTCCATGAACATGTTTTTCTCTATTGATAAACTGTTCCACAAGCTAGGCTTACTTTTACAATACAGATAGCCTTTCATAGAGGAAACTTTCAAACTTTTGTTGTAACAAATACTTTTTCTAATAACCTGTTGGTACTTTGCTTAAAGTTTTAGTATTCCATTTTGATTCGCTGTGAAGCCTGTGATTAATATATGATTTTCAATCTTATGTTGTGTATTTTACTTTGTTTGCACGTAATTTGGCTTGCTTTGATCTCTATTGATCAGTTCACGTGCCCTGTTCTCTGCAGATTGCCGGCAAAATTAGCTGTAAAAGGATGTGTAGACAATCGCTGACCTGGAAATTCTCCAAACTATACTTACAGATTATCACATCAAAATGTTGCCGTTGCAGTTTTATTGTCTTCTCAGAATACATTCACTTAGGATTAGGAGGAAAATATAAAGTATTGATTTTGTTTTCATTTCCTATAGAGTAAATCCCCCTGACACTAGAAATGTATTATTACTCTTGAACACTTTTTCTGTGAAAACTATATGTATTCTGAAAAAATTCAATGTGAATGATCAAAAATAAATTAATGTTTTTTCTTCAACAAACCACAAGTACTTACTTAGAGGACGTGAGTGAAAAGTGTAACCTATAAAGCCTCAAGCTTTATTGTTTAGCATTTTGCTCTCATGGTCTCTTATGATCAAATCTAAACCCTTTCTCTGGTCTCGTCGCTGTCGGGTCTTTTCTCCTCAGCAGACAAGATGTTTCTCCTCTACCATCACTCAAACGCATCAACAACAATCCACGACCGCTCCGACTCCGACCCACTTCGATCCCTCCGGCGAGGAGAGTCCCGACACTGAACGAGCTCTCATCTCAGCTCTAGGATCATGCGCCACCAGCAAAGACATCACTTACGGCCGACAAATCCATTGCCTTGTCTTAAAATCCGGTTTCGATTCCAACGGGTTCATCTGCAACAGCGTACTCAACATGTACGCTAAATGCCGTGTCTTGTCCGATGCTGAATCTGTTTTCAAGTCCCACACTAAACTCGACTCTGCTTCGTTCAATATCATGGTAGATGGGTATGTTCGATCTCGTAGACTTGGAGACGCGCTCAAGCTGTTCGACGAAATGCCTGAGAGAAGCTGCGTCTCGTACACGACTTTGATTAAAGGGTACGCTCAAAACGATCGGTATAGTGAAGCGATGGAGCTTTTTAGAGAGATGAGAAGTTTTGGAGTTATGATTAACGATGTGACTTTAGCTACTGTTGTATCCGCGTGTTCGCATTTGGGTGGGGTTTGGGATTGTAGGATGTTGCATAGCTTAGCGATTAGGTTGAGTCTTGACGGTAGAGTCTTTGTTTCGACGAATTTGCTTCATATGTATTGTGTTTGCTCGTGTTTGGAGGATGCGCGGAAGTTGTTCGATGGAATGCCTGAGAGGAATTTAGTTACTTGGAACGTGATGTTAAATGGGTACTCGAAAGGTGGATTAATTGAACAGGCTAAGGAGTTGTTTGATCAGATTAGTGAGAAGGATATTGTGTCGTGGGGGACTATGGTTGATGGGTGTCTTCGGAAGAATCAGCTTGAGGAAGCTCTTGTTTTCTACAAAGAGATGCTGCGACGTGGATTGAAACCTAGCGAGGTCATGATGGTGGACCTTTTGTCTGCTTCAGCTCGATCATCAGGAAGTTTCAACGGTTTGCAACTTCATGGCACTATTGTGAAGACCGGTTTAGATTCCTATGATTTCATACAAGCAACGATCATACATTTCTACGCTGTCTGTAATAACATGAAACTCGCTCTTCGACAGTTTGAAGCGAGCGTAAGGGACCACATTGCGTCGAGAAACGCGTTGATTGCAGGGTTTGTGAAGAACCGAATGGTTGAGGAGGCAAGGGAAGTGTTTGATAACACTCGAGAGAAAGATATCTTTTCATGGAACGCTATGATATCAGGTTACTCCCAAAGCCTCTCTCCTAACTTAGCTCTACATCTCTTCCACGAAATGATCACTAGTAGCCAAGTAAAACCAGATGCAATCACAATGGTGAGTGTTTTCTCCGCAATATCATCACTGGGATCGTTAGAAGAAGGTATCAGAGCTCACGAGTATCTAAACCGTAGTAACACAATCCCTCCCAACGACAATCTAACGGCTGCTGTAATCGACATGTACGCCAAATGTGGAAGCATCGAAACCGCTCTACACGTTTTCCGCCACACAAAGAACATATATTCCTCAACGATCTCTCCATGGAACGCTATTATCTGCGGTTCAGCGACACATGGACATGCAAAGTTAGCGCTTGATCTCTACTCCGAGCTCCAGACTCTTCCCATCAAACCGAACAGCATCACTTTCGTCGGTGTCTTGAGCGCATGCTGTCACGCGGGGCTTGTGGAGTTAGGTAAAACGTATTTCGACAGCATGAAGAGCAGGTACGGGATAGAGCCAGACATTAAGCATTATGGATGTATGGTTGATATATTGGGGAAGGCAGGAAGGTTAGAGGAGGCTATGGACATGATCAAGAAGATGCCTGTGAAGGCTGATGTGATCATATGGGGAATGTTGTTATCAGCTTCACGGATTCACCGGAACGTCGAGGTGGCTGAGATAGCCGCTGCTGAGCTGGCGAAGATTGAGCCTTCTCACGGAGGATGTAAAGTTTTGCTTTCGAACGTTTATGCAGACGCGGGGAGATGGGAAGATGTTGCTTTGGTTAGAGAGGAGATGCGGACAAGTGATGTTGAGTGGTCACGTGCCTTCAGTGGTGTTGTGTGATTGATTGTTTTAGACTCTTTTAGGCTTTTTAATGGGCTTATTATTGTATTGGGCCTTAGTGAAAACAAAAAAAATAAGTAGCGCGTACACGGGAAGACGAGTTGGATAACCCGTCTGAACTTTGGCCACTCGTGTTTCTGTGGGTCCATGCTAAGCTGAGCTGGCTCTTTGCTGTCCGAACGAAAGCGCGTGTGGAAGTATTTTTATTCTTCATGCATTTTTTTCTTAATTCTTCAGTATTACCTTATTTTAAAAATATAAACTAATCGTTGAAACAAAAGTATAAACTACATTGATTAATGGCCTTTTTTGTGTGTTGCAGTCTGATTAAATCAGTTTGACAATGAATAACTAGCTACACTCGTTTGAATCTTTCAGCATTGAAGCTTTGCCCTTATGAAAGGTGAATCATTACTCTTTGCATAATAAGCTCTTTAGAAACGACCCATGGATTAAATTTTATTAATGCAGAAAACAAATAATCATTAGGAGTTCATAAGAAAAGGAATGATATTAATCACACAACAATTTTTTTGGTATTTTATGATAACATCATAATGAAAGTCATGTGGTGCACATGGAGTGATGAAGCATTGTCACGATTCTTTGTGACCATTCGTTCTCCTCTTGGTTATTTTGAGTTTGTTTATGCCGATGGTATTTTATTATCTGAAAATGAACATATTTAGTACTTTCTAATAAAAATACATGACCAAAAAAATTCAAAACAAGCAATGAAAGAAAACATAGATAATACAAACTTAAAAAGATAATTATAGTAGCTGTTTTTAAAAATAATTGTATTAGCTGTTGCGTATACGAATATCACTGAGTATCATGTACATGTTGTCTTTTTTTTTATGTCACAAACCATGTACATGTTGTCTATAAGTTTTAACTTTATATTTATCTTTCATGTTCCATTTTTTTCAAATTAAATGATGTTTTGAAAATTTAGATGTTTTCATTCATGAAATATGTTTAGAAAACTATATTTTTCGCAATTCCTTAAATTATAGTTAGAAATTTATAGTATAAACTACTATAAAGTCAAAGAACTATAATTCTAGTAAATTATACAGTTGAATCATGAATCCATAGCACATGGGACAAGGATTAGTTAAATGATCATAAAACAATAGTAGTTTATTACAAAAATATCTAAACTTCTTTTTTTTGATCAAATATCTAAACTTATATTCTCCCTTTGCGAGTGTGCTCATTATCCAAAGCTAGTTATTCCTCCAAAAAATACAAGTACCCATAAACTCGAGGGCAAATAAGTCTTTCCGCGATAGGATAATCAGACTCCACTTATCTGCTTTTTCAATTATCAGAGAGAGAGAAAGGAAAAAAAAAATCAAAATCATATTTAATTCCTTTCTGTTCTTCATCGGCATATAGAGAATTTAGATCTCTTCTACACCACTCTTCGCTCTGCTCTAGCTCTCGTATTTGAGATTCAGATCCGATAAGAAACTTGTAAGCTCAGAGAAAATTATCCAAAAGGCTTCTCGGCTTTTGAAAAGCTGTCTCCTTTTTTTTTTTACTCTGTTTGTGATTGATCGAAGAAGATAGAATCTCGCCTTTCTTCTTATCAAAGCAATACCGAAAACCCATTCTCGTATTACCCATCTCGATTCTTCCTCTGATCCATCGGTTTCATTTCAAAAAGCTTCGATTTTTAAATTAGGTATTTCCCACTCAGAAGTGCTCTGTTTTTGTTCGAATCTCCGTTCTGTTTTGGACATTTGCGTTGTTAGCTCTTTGTTTAATTTACTCGGTGAAGTTAAGAAGCAAATTCGGTAGATTCTTCGTCATAATAAGCTTGATTCGAAGCTCACTCTGAAGTGATTCATTTGGTCTTCTTTAAGTTATTGTGGATGCTCTGTTAGCTGAAGATGCAGCCTGATCAACGCAAAAAGGTTCAACCTTTCTTTCTAAATGTTTTCAGATTTGCATAGTAACAGAGATTTGAGATCTGATTGTGTCACTTAGGATCTATAACACTCCTTTATCATTAACATTTGATGTTCCAGTCATCAGTGGAACTAGATTTCTTCACGGAGTACGGTGAAGGCAGCAGATACAGAATCGAGGAAGTCATTGGCAAAGGAAGCTACGGAGTCGTCTGCTCGGCTTACGACACGCACACGGGAGAGAAAGTCGCTATCAAGAAGATCAATGACATCTTCGAGCATGTCTCTGATGCGACACGCATTCTCCGTGAGATCAAGCTTCTCAGGATCTTGCGCCATCCTGACATCGTTGAGATCAAACACATCTTGTTGCCGCCTTCGAGAAGAGAGTTCAGAGACATTTACGTTGTTTTCGAGCTCATGGAGTCTGATCTTCATCAGGTTATTAAGGCTAATGATGACTTGACTCCTGAGCATTACCAGTTTTTCCTCTATCAGCTTCTCCGTGGCCTCAAGTATATACACACAGGTGAAGATAGCGAGTTTTTTCAACATCTTTGGATAAGTTTTGAATGTTTTTTTTTTTCTTAACTTCGTTTTGTTTTTTTTTTTCTTTCAGCTAATGTTTTTCATAGGGATCTAAAACCGAAAAATATATTGGCAAATGCTGATTGTAAACTCAAGATCTGTGATTTTGGACTTGCAAGAGTTGCATTCAATGATACACCAACTGCTATTTTCTGGACTGTAAGTAGTAGTAATATAACGCTTACCTTTAGAAGGTTACTCTTGTTTTTTTTGTACATGAAACCAACGTTTATACTATTGCTTTGTGACTGCAGGACTATGTAGCTACTAGATGGTACCGGGCTCCAGAACTGTGTGGATCATTTTTCTCAAAGGTGATCATGATTTTGCAGTTTCATCTAATGTTTCAAAATCTTAACAGGGAATCGTAGTCACTACAGAGTTCTCCTGCAGATTGTTAATGTTTTAATTCTTTGCTTGTGTTCAGTATACACCAGCAATAGATATATGGAGCATAGGGTGCATATTTGCAGAGCTCTTAACAGGGAAACCTCTTTTCCCCGGGAAAAATGTGGTTCATCAGTTGGATCTGATGACTGATATGTTGGGAACTCCATCTGCGGAAGCCATTGGAAGGGTTAGTGTGTCTTTTTTAACAGTGAGTCATTGTTTCTTTTTTTTTTGCTGAACTGCTTGCATTGAATGTGACAGGTAAGGAACGAGAAAGCTCGAAGATACTTAAGCAGCATGAGGAAGAAGAAGCCTATTCCTTTCTCACATAAGTTTCCACATGCTGATCCTCTCGCTCTTCGTCTTCTAGAAAAGATGTTGTCTTTTGAACCTAAAGACCGGCCTACAGCTGAAGAGGTGATTCACACACTCCCTTCATTACGCTCTTTATGATGCAAGTTTGGTTGTATTTTACTAAATGTGGTTTTGCTGTAGGCCCTTGCGGATCCGTACTTCAAGGGTTTAGCTAAGGTTGAACGAGAGCCCTCAGCTCAACCTGTCACAAAGATGGAATTCGAGTTCGAGAGGCGGAGGATCACTAAAGAGGATGTAAGAGAGCTCATCTATAGAGAGTCTCTTGAGTACCATCCAAAGATGCTTAAAGAGTTCTTGGATGGATCGGAGCCAACTAACTTTATGTACCCTAGGTACTTTCTTAGCTTGGCTGACCCTTGCTTCACAACTATAACCTTGTCCATGATCTTATTCAGATATGTATTGATCATTGTGCAGTGCGGTGGAACATTTCAAGAAACAGTTTGCTTACCTCGAGGAACACTACACGAATGGTACTTCTCATAATCCCCCGGAGAGGCAGCAGCACGCATCATTACCTAGGTATCCTTAACAACTTAACATTATTTAGACACTTAATGATTTGGGATTCTTTGGAAAAGGTACATTGAGAGTTCTCTGTTCTTATGTTTTTGCAGGGCTTGCGTTTTGTATTCCGATAACAAGAATGGAGCGGGGGGACAACAGAGTTCAGTGGAAGTCACTGATGGACTCTCCAAGTGTAGCATCAGAGATGAGAGACCACGTGGTGCAGACAGGAATCCGCAGCGAATCCCTGTTAACGTCCCTCAAACAATCCAAGGTCTCACTCTTTTCTCTTTGTTTATATAGAAGTTTTGTGGTTTCAGAACATTACCATGTTTGTAAATGAAGCAGGTGCTGCAGTAGCTAGACCTGGAAAAGTAGTTGGGTCAGTGTTACGCTATAACAACTGCGGAGCAGCCACAGGAGTTGAAGCTCTTGAGCAACAACAGCGTAGGATGGTTAGAAATCCGGTTGGTGTGGCTCAGTACCCAAAGAGAACTCAACCTTGCAAAAGCAGCAGAGGAGATGAAGACTGTGACGCCGAAGGTTCAAGTAGGTTGAAACAAAACCCACAGTATATACCACATAAAGTTGCCGCAGCACAAGATACATCAATGAGTCGCTGGTACTGAGATGCTGTTTTGAGTCTAGCAGGAGAAGCTTTACTACACGTATCAGGTAGAGCTAAGAGAGAAGGGTGAGAAGCTCTCAAGAAAGAAAGATTTTTCTTACAGATCCTGTCATGTTATTTGTCTTTGTGTTCTTAAAAATGACCTTTGTCCTTGACGTTGTAACAATATATATTTGCCTTCAAATTCTTATCCTCTAGAATGATATAATAAGTCCCACTGGATCTTTGATTTAATATAAAGCTTTTAGAAAAAGATCCATTGAATTTGCTGAATGAGATCGTTTAATATCAGCCATTATCCTTAACAAATATGATACAAATGCAAACGCTGGATCTAATCAGATCAGCCATTTATCCTTAACAGTAATTATACAATGCACAGATCTGGTTAATGCAACCGCTGCTTCACTCGTCTTCCATTTGCATCACAACCGTCAGCAAACATCTCTTTTCGATAACCAGATGCACTAACAGAATGTTCACCAAGCCTCGCCACATAGTTCAAAAGCTCAGTTAGTAAAGATGGACAACTCTTTTTCAGATAATCAAACCCATCTGTTTGCATCACAGCTGATAAGAGAAAAACAAGAGGGAAAACAACATAAGCCTCATTATATGAGTAGAGAGAGTTGAATCAGAACGACCTTCCAACAAACAGATTTATCTTTTATTTTCTTTACCTTTCAGGTTCTCTGGTAAAGAAACGAATTTGAGACAGACTGCCTTTAGCTGGAAACAATGATGCTGCTCCGCTAGGGCCAAGGTGGTTGCAACAGTGTTTATGGTGATTCCTTCACAGAGTTTTGACTCGCAGATCACTTTAAGCCGCTCAAGAGCGTAACGGTCTGCCGCTGCAAGCAGATGCTGAGCCACAAGAGTAGAAGCTGATTTAGAGTCTGTGCCTATTAACTCTTGCATGTCAGGCAATTCGTCCCAGTAGATGAAATGGAGCAAAACCTGGACAAGAACAAATAAAAAGGGGGAAAAGAGTTCGTATCAGGGTACACATTGACACTAAACCTGCTAGGAGTTAAGATTTGAACCTAAAACAAGAACTAATAACCCTAGAAGCAACTTATAGAACCTTTCATGACAAAGGAAAACAGATATAGATTCATTACATCACAAGACTTATCTCACTAAACCCACCAGCCAATCTCATTAACATGCTAAAGATTCAATCTATTCGTCTGGTTGCAATAAGAGGAAGGAAACAGTCATGGACTCATGCAACCAACCAGGAAGAGAAGCAAAAAGAAAGAAAGAACCTTATCCTGGGTGAGTAAACTCGACAACAGGAGTAGCGCCCCAGGAGAAGATCCCGGATGGTACATTCGTGAATAGAAAATCCTGTATGACACCACAGTCACTCTCACCCGGAAAGAGAAGGCAAGTAACCAACAAATCTATCTCTTTCCTATAAGACCGATCTACTTACACAATACAGACCAAACATATGCAATCTCAAAGAGAGAATTAGAGATGTTACCTTAAAAATGGGAGACTCCATGTCTTCTATCTCTATGCGGTCAGTATTTCGATCTCTTAACGGGCCAAAAAGCTGTGCCCTGAAAACTGGGGAACGCGCTGCAAGAACCAGTTTGTGCGCAGCGAATGTTTCTCCATCAACTTCAAAAGTAACATCACAACCTTTCCCACTTTCCAAAAGTTTTGCAAACTGTTGGCCCAAGTTAGAAACTGGTACAGGGATGTTGTAATTCTTCTGTCCCTCAGTGCATGACTTCACCACACCAACACGGCACCGAACCAAGAGACTATTGTCCTTCAGATAATCTGATGTTTCTAGACTGGACTTCTTGAAAAACCGCTTGTATCCCCTGAACGAAGCAAGCATCAGACAAATCATTAACATTGAGACACTATCAATCTCATCACAGAGCCATAACAGAACACTCTAGCTTCATCAGAAAATAAAAGAAATTTCAACAACAATGGCCTTAAATCGCTCAAAACAGCTTGTAGCCCCTGAACGAAGTAACCATCAGATACACATTAACACTGAGACAACACAAACATGTTACAATCCTATCAATCTAATCACAGCGCCATAACAGAACACTCTAACTTCATCAGAAAATAAAACAAATTTCAACAACAGTGGCCTTAATAATCACACAAAACCGCTTGTATCCCCTGAACGAAGCAGCCATCAGATACATCATTAACATTGAAACAACACAAACATGTCACAATCCAATCAATCTCATCACAAAGCCATATCAGAACATTCTCAGACATTCCAACAAAAATGGTCGTAAATCACTCAAAAAGCCATGCTTTCATTGCAAGATTGAACCTTTCCAGGAACATAGAGAGAACAAGAACTACTCACCACAACCATGTCAGTCATAACCCTATCAATCTTATCACAAATCCATATAATCTCAACAACAATGAATCACTCAAAACCTCGTGTATCCCCTGAACGAAGCAACCACCAGACACATCATTAACATCGAAACAACACAAACATGTCATAACCCTATCAACCCCATCACAAAGCCATATAATTTCAACTAACAATAACCCTAAATCACTCAAAAAACATGTTCTTTCATTGCAAGTTTGAAGCTTTCCTGTTTACTCACCACATACTTCCCCTATACTTAAGAGTATAAGGCCCGCTCTCAAGCGCTCTCCCAAAATGACTATGAACCTTATGCTTCCCACCCCCACTCTGATCCACAAGCGTCAGCTCAAACAAAGCCCTCACATCAGCTCCCTCGCTCGCAAGCGCAATAAACAAAGACACATAAGAAGAGTTATCCTCCGGATTCTTCCCATCCGGATAAAAGTAAACCGCCCACGTGTAACCGCCGATCATAAAAGTCTCCGAGGACACGAATTTGCCGACGCCGAGGCCTTTGGTGAGAGAATAGGCGCTGATCTTGAATTCGTGGAAGCCATTGATTGTTTCCGTTACGGAGGTTGATACCGAGGTAAGCGGTTTCGGAGGAGATCTAGAAACCTCCATCAAACAAAAGAGAGATCTTCGATTTTTTGATAACTCCTAAAATTAGAAAGTTAGGGTTTTTGGGAAAGATATGAAGAAGGATTTGTAGATCGGGTGGGTAGAGGACGGAGAGGGTAGTCTCCGGCGGAGATTGATTGCGTCGGTGGAGACGATAAAGGAGGGAGGAAGGAGCGTATGTGTGGTTTTTTTTTTTTTAAATGAGTTTAGGACAATGAGGTTAGCTAATTAAAACGTCGTTTATATATTAGTTTTTAAAAAGTTCAATTTGTATTTTTATTTACGTGCAAATCTTTATGTACACGAAATAAAAAGGGGGAAAATTATAAATGTGAATAGACGCATCTCATTGGGCCATGGATTTAGTATTTAATACTCCTCATTCTAAGCATAATTTTCTTCGTTTTAGGTTTCCAATGCAACTTTTACTATTGTTTTATTTCTTTTATCTTTAATTAAATTAAATAAATATTGAATGTTATATAATTCTAATGGTCAAATAAGAATAAATCTGAATATTTAATTTTTCTTTTAATTTGTCTGCAAAACACTAGGAGGGTAAATAATTTGAAAGGGAAGGAGTATAAATCTTTTGAAAAGTTATTAATGTTTTTTTATATTTTGTTGACATTAACTTCAAAAAAAAAGCGAACCATCGAGAAGATGAGTGGGTCAAAGTCATTTCATTTCGTGTCAGCTGTACTTTGATTAAAGCAATTCTGATTTTCTGTCAGTTTTGGAAATTGAATTTTGGAATGTCAACCATTGTGAAATTGAAACTCATTGTGCATTTTTAGTTTAGTGGTAACGAACTAAAGACAGGGGCGGGGCGGTCCTGGGCCAAGTCGGGTGAAATATTTGTCTTGAATCCTTAAATTTTTTAGAAAAAAGTTATATGCATATAGGCCTCTGAAGAAAAAATCGTTAAAATATCAATTTAGGCCTCCGAAATTTCAGGTCCGACCATGATTAAGGATGACTAGTAATGAAATGGGAACACGATGTTACCTTGGCTATATAACATTGTTGACAAACTGGTTGGCCAATGGCTACACCCATTTCATTTGTGTTGTCGTTAATCATCTTCAAGTGTTATTGTCATTTTTGTGTGATTGATAATGGAGATTGTGAATGATGCACACACACACACGATCATTTGTCTTACAAGGATGTGTATGAGGCAATCTTTACGCGATGTCATGATCCCTATGTTTTTCTAGTAGTATATTGGTTTGATATTTGATTTTACTTATCATCAAAATTAGCTTAACGTAAATTGAAAGTTTATGTGTTTTTTTCTATTATGGGAGGATTAAGTGGGTCCTGAAAGAGGAAGATCTCATTTGAGCCTTTAGCTTCACACAACAAGACTTCTGCTGGAACACATATGCTTGCAAGCCACCATTGCTCTCACCGTCTTATTGACTTATTGACTCACTAATTATTTTATTTAATTACAGATTAGATTTCATTACCCTTGCGTACGTTAACGCTTTTAGTACCAATACAAGGCAATAATTGGTGACTTATCTTCAATTATTGTGACTTAACGATAGACATTCTTCCCCAAAATATAATTCTAAGTAACAAAACAAAAAAGGAAAATCAGTTGTTGTCACATTATCAGTTTCTTTTTGAAACATGAATGAATGTATATCACTAACAATGTTAATTTTTTTGATTTTTATCCATCCTTCTGCGTTTTATATTTTGAAATATATTTACACTAGACGCAAATGTGCAAGATAACTTCTTTACCAAACATTTTTCTAGAAATTCTAGACGCAAATACAGAGCAAACATACTTTATACGAACAAGCACGGCTTTTCTTGGCATAAAGATGGCAAATAAATCATCTAATTATTGATGCTAGGACAATAACTGATCATATTAGATTCTAAAAATAGTACTATGTTAGTATGTTAACTAAATGATGTTTTCTTTTTGCTTATGAGGATAAGTCAAGCAACATAACCATAAGATCAGCAATCTTTAACCTTTTTTACAGTTTTTATCTTTTATAATATGCTGTTATATGGGAAATATGGGGGAAAAAGAAAGTTAAAAAGATAAAGAAAAAGGATGTCAAAACAAAAAGATGCATTAAGGTAGTTAAAGAAGATGTCATAAAAGTGTTATTTTGTTGTTTAAATGTACCTGTTTGGTCATAAAAACTGCAGGGTGAAGCATATGCAACAATAATCTTGAAGTTATACTTTCTTGCACATTTCCTCTTATTAAGCTTATATTGCAACCTTTCTCTCTACTCTTTTGCTTATTTTGCTTATTTTGCTTCCATCTCTCTCTATATAAACATCCATATATATATGAAGAATGAAAAACCACGCTTTTCACACATTTCTTTGCATCATCACATCAACAACTCTTCAAGTCATATTACTATTCCAAAAAGATACAGAAAGAAAGAAAATAAAAACTTCCCCATTGGCGATTTGAGCTGCTAGGAAACTAGTAAAAAACAAAGAAAGGTTTATAATGGCTTCAAGGAAGTTTGAAGAAGAAGAAGATAGAAGCATTCGTTTGCAGGTTTTTGTCATATTACTTTCTTACATACACTTTTGTGTTTAAGCTAGCTGTTTTGAGTTTAGGTTTCCTTGAAAGCTTTTAATTATTTTACTTTAGTATTGATTAACCTAACATTATTATTTTCGTGAAATAAGTTGTCTTCTTCTGTTCTTCATATTCATGTAGATTTTATCATTAAAATCTCAATTTAAGTGATAGTTAAGTGATAATCAACTATGTTTAGTTACTAAAACTATGTCAATAATACAGGTGTCAGAGCTTCATAAATTGGAGGAAGCTAGAGGCTCAAACGACACCGTATTCGATCTCAGAACCAGCATAGAGAAAGAAAACAGCGGCGAAACCGCAGACGCAGCTTCCGTCTCCTCCGCGACCGCGTTTCGCAGAAAATCAAATATCCCCGCCCCAGAGAAGAAGCTAACGCTGTTCGCCCTCCAACTCGCGATCCTCGAGAAAACAGCCACCGGAATCGGAACCCTAGGCTTCATCTGGGCCACGGTGGTCCTCCTAGGCGGCTTCGCGATCACACTCGACCCCTCCGACTTCTGGTTCATCACCATCATCCTCCTCATCGAAGGCGCCAGAATCTTCAGCCGAAGCCACGAGCTCGAGTGGCAGCACCAAGCCACGTGGACCATCGCCGGCGTCGGAATCACCAGCTTCCGCGCTCTCCGCTCATCCTCCGCCTCGATTCTCCGATTTCTACGAATCAAATCGAGAGAATCAACAACGACGGTTGCAAGAGACTGTTCTTCCGCCACGTGGCGGAAGAACAACTCAGAAGACGCGCACGTGCCTCCTCTACTTCCGTACGCGAGATGGTTCTTCATCTCCAGCACTGTGAGTCGTCTCCTCTACTGGCTACAGCTTCTCTCCGCGACGGCTTGTGTGGCTTTGTCTTCGTACAAGCTCGTGAGGCATAACTATGGAGATGTTCATAAAGGAGATACTGATAAGAGGAATAGACAGTCTGCTCTAAATATATTCTACTCGCTTGCGTTGGCTGAGGCGTTGCTGTTTCTTGCTGAGAAAGCTTATTGGGAGTGGAGAGTGAGTGTTTGTAATTTGCTTGAGAATGTGACGAGAGAGTGTGAGTTTGGGGTTACTGGTTTGGTTTCGATTAAGAGGTTTTTCTATGATTCTTACTCCAAGTGTGTTAATGGGAGTATCTTTGATGGGTTGAAGATGGATATTGTGAGTTTTGGTATGGAGCTTTTGGGATCGAATTCGTGTGATGAGCAGCTTATTGGGGTTAGGATACTTAGACAGTTTGCTGTTAATGAACGGTATTCGGAGGAGACGCTTGAGAAGATTGGAATTAACTTCCCTGTTGTTGAAAGGTTTGGTCTTTACATGTCAAACTTTACAGTGAAGTGATAACATGGCTGCTAACTCTTTGTTGTTGTTATTAGGTTGGTAGAGATGCTGAACTGGAAAGATCTGCAGGAGGAAGAGATTAGGAGATCAGCTGCTGAGATACTATCGAAACTCGCTGGCAAAAAGCAGAACTCTTTGAGAGTAGCTGGGATCTCTGGTGCAATGGAATCGATTTCTTCGTTACTTGAGAGTACGAGATCATTAGGTGAAGCTCCTGATGAGATTGGAGAGAAGAAAGTGTTTCATGAGCATGATCTACACTATGATTTCTGTAGATTTAACAATTTGGGACTCTTGATTCTGAAGAAGTTAGCTAAAGATCATGATAACTGTGGGAAGCTAGGCAACACGAGGGGTCTTCTCCCGAAGATTATTGATTTCACACACGTGGACCAAGTTCTGTTGTGGGAGGAGAACGCAGACGTTGCTAGGTCACAGATTCTGACGTTGAAAAGGTCGTTGCAGCTGGTGAAAATGTTAGCTAGTACGACAGGGCACACGGGGAAGTGCCTCAGGAGGGAGATCTCAGAGATTGTTTTCACAGTGAGCAACGTGAGGGATGTCTTGAGACACGGAGGGAGATACCCGAAGCTGCAGAAGCTCGGGATAGGGATATTGACTAACCTTGCGCTTGACACGGAAGCTAGGGAGAGAATTGGTGGAACGGGTGGTGTTTTGAAAGAGTTGTTCAACATTTTCTTTAAAACACACGGAGACGATGGGAATCAGGGATGTGTGAGGATAGCTGCAGGAGAAGCTATAGCGATGCTTGTGTTGGAGAGCAGAGGTAACTGCCTCCATGCTCTTAGACTTGGAGTGATGGGAAGACTTGTGGAAGCACTTGAAGTTCCTTTGATCCGTGTCAACGCTGCAAGAGTGTTGAGAAACTTGTGCTTATACTCTGGGGATGACTGCTTTCATGACTTGAAGTTCGTTAAAGCAGCAGCACCTACGGTTAGTATTCTGATATACAGTTATGTACAACTTAAATCTAGTAACTATATTGCTGAGTAACAAATCCGGAAACTGTTTTCATTCTGTTGCAGGTGTTGAAGTCAATCACATCAGAAGACAACAAATTACAGGAAGTGATGGTGGGATTAGCAGCACAAGTGTTTAGATTCATGAGTCCAGAAGACTCGAGCTATGTATTCATGAATTCAGGGATAGAGAGACATGAACTGGCCTACTCGTTGGTCTCAATTCTTAGAAAACACGACAAACCAGCGATTAAGGTGCCAAGAATCAGGAGATTTGTGATCGAGCTAGCGGTTTGGATGATGGAAGATGACGTGGAGAATAATGTATTGGTGTTCAGAGAGTTGGGTCTGGAGAAGGAGCTTGAGAAGGTTCTAGAAACTACTGCTGAGCTTGAGAACTTCGATGTTTTCTCCGGAACTGTTGGAGTGAGCCGTCATAGTAGAACGGTCCACTCTCTAGCTGAGCTAGCCTTGAAAATTCTTGAGGAAAACTGAACCATAAACAACCATCCTGCAAGAAAAAGATCTCAGAGCTCTGCATTAGAGCTTTTATTATGACTCATTGTTTTGCAAGGAGAACAAATAAAAATGTACAAATGTGATGGTTATGCAATACATTATTTAATTTATTGATTTGAAGTTATGCTATTCTTTTCTTCTTCTGCGGAATAAGCTAGGTATATCATTCTTTGGACAAAGTGAAGGACAGAGTAAAGAATTTTAAAAACATTGCTTGTAGGTGACGAAAACTTTTATATGAACTGAATAAATATATATATACAGACATGCAGAGATGTTGTGATCATCCCAAGACAGAAACAGAGAAAAGGACATTGTCTTGTTTTCTTACAAGCCCTGTCGGAAAACTCAGAGAATCTTTTCTTATAAGGCATCAACATGGCTTCAGGAGGATCAAAGTCGGCAGCTTTCATGCTTCTGTTACTGAATCTTGGCCTCTACTTTGTCGTCACCATCATCGCTGCCTGGGCTGTTAATCACGGCATCGAGAGAGCTCGAGAGTCTGGTAATTAAATAATAAAAATAATAAAATGATCCAAATTTCTTCAGGGTTGAATGTGAACATTCAATCTTTTTGTGGTCTTTGTAGCGTCGGTGCTGTCTCTTCCGGCGAAGATCTTCCCGATATACTTCCCGGTGGGGAACATGGCGACTGGCTTTTTCGTGATATTCTCGTTGATCGCTGGCGTCGTGGGAATGGCAACATCACTCACCGGAATCATGAACGTTCTTCAGTGGGATTCTCCGAATCTCCATTCCGCCGCGGCGTCCTCTCTCATCTCTTGGTCTCTCACTCTCCTCGCCATGGGGTAAAAAAATAGCTAACCATTCAGGTTTTGATCCAGTTAAATTAATAACCAAATATAAACCGGTTTGGTTTTGGTGCAGATTGGCTTGTAAGGAAATCAACATAGGCTGGACCGAAGCCAATCTAGTGAGTTTTTTCATTACCGGTTTTATCCGTTTAGTTTAAAATCTACGAAATGTCATGAAGTCATGACGATAATTTTGTTTCCCGTGTATTCAGAGAACTCTTGAAGTGATGACAATAATAGTGAGTGGAACTCAATTGTTGTGCACCGGAGCTATTCACGTCGGAGTTGGAGAAACAGTCGACGGAGTAAGGCCTCATGTCGGAAGAGCTTGACTTTCTGCATTGAGAGACAGTTTATAAATTGGTTATTACAAGCGGTTTAAACAAAATGGAGAGTTTGGGATTGTGTAATTTGTGTGTTGTGTGTATTTATTATAATGTTTTTCCTCAGCTATTGTATTCATTTATTTTTATTCTATAACTTGATTGTATACGACAGTATCTGCAATTTTACATAAAGACTCATATCTACCCATCTCATCTGAAAGTAGCAAACGGAACAGTGTAGTTTCCTTTTCTGTAACAAGTGTCGAAAACAGCAGAATCACCAAACTGACTACAAGCGAATCACCAAACTCTCGTGTAGCTTTCTTGATGTGGTTGTTGCTGCTGAAACCGTTTAGTTGGATAAACATAGTCTGTGCATGATCTTGTTTAAACCGTCCTCGTTCTTCTTTCCCGGTTCAATGTGATTGAGTTGTCAACTTTTGAATGGAATAGCAGACCAATCCTAACTCTGAACCCAGCAACTTCAGCATAGGACTGATAAAAACTGACAAGCTTCATTAGCCGAACCAAACTCCAACTCTGCGTAGGGATCATCATTACTCACTTCTCCACCGCCGCCTTTAAAACGTTTTGAAAGAAGATGGACAAGAGCGTTGTTCTCTATCAAACTAATCAACAACTTTGGTCTATATCGTTACACCTAGCTTCGTAGGATTTCTCGTGGTACGTGGAGCCGTTGTCACCTCGACATGAGCTTCACTTTCAAGCTCATGGTTATGCTATCTAGTCAAGAACCCATTTCACTGTATCATGTCTCCGCATCCGCTTCGAGAATTTAACTGAAAACCTTCCTTTGAGCGGACAAACCTCCTAGTGGATACACAGTACCCTCTGTTCTTGATCTATATAACTGACCGGTTCTAACTTTAAAACCTGTTCGTGATGCGTAAGCGTTGTAGAACTCTCGAGCTTCCTCTGCAGTGTCGAATTCTAAACCCACGTAAAGCTCGGCTCCCGATCTTCCTTGTTCGTCCTCTTCGTTGTGATTCAAAATACGTAATGTGTTAATCGTTATTACAGTATCTTTTTTCTTTTTTTGGGGTCAATCGTTATTACAGTATCTATAACTGATAATGTGTTAATGTATTGACAGAAAAAAAGTGTGTTATTTCACAAATTAGCCCTTAATGTAATATAACTTTATTATTTGTTGTTCAAAAAAAAAAACTTTATTATTCTTCTAAGCCAAAGGAAAAAAAAAAAAGGAAGAAAGTCAAAACCTTTCATGAAAATCAAAATCAAATTGGGGATCATCAAAATCTAGGGTTCCGGCGAAAGCACTCTCCTTTCTTCTCCCGGAAATAACAAAAACCCATCCTTTCATCAATCATGAGTAGAGGTCAGTCATATCTCATCACTCTCATCAGAAACCCATCTCGTCAAAACCACTCCAACACCACCCAGATACGCACTCTAACCCTCGACCCTTCTCGCGCTAATACTACTGAACCCAAGTCCGATGAGCATCATCAGGCTTCCACCTATACGGAAATGGCTAAAACCGTATCCACCATCATCAGAGAGAGACACAGATGGCAGCAAACTCTGGTATCTGATTTCCCTTCCTTTAACTTCGCAGATCCTCTCTTTCTCCGACAAATGTTGACATTACATAACAACAACAACAACAACGTTATGTTTTCCCTCTGGTTCTTCCGTTGGCTTTGCTCCACTTTCGATTACAAACCTGATCCTGTCTCCTTAAGCCTCCTCTTCGCTGCTCTTTTAGATGCTAAAGCTGTTAAAGCTGCCAAAAGCTTTCTTGATACTACCAGTTTTAGCCCTGAGGTAACGTTGCTAGAGCGTTACGTGAAGTGTCTTTGTGAAGATGGGTTGGTTGATGAAGGTATCCGAGTCTATACTCAACTCAAAGAACCTTCGGTTTCTACTTGTAATGCTGTTTTACTAGGTTGCTTGAAAGCTAAGAAACTAGATCTCTTCTGGGAGCTTCACAAGGAGATGAAAGAGCCCGAGGTTGTTGATTTAGAGAGGATACAGTGTTTGATTCAAGCTTTGTGTGACGGTGGTGAGGTTTCAGAAGGGTATGAGCTACTCAAGAAGGTTTTGAGACAAGGGCTTGATCCAGGACATGGTGTCTACGCGAGGTTGATATCTGGTTTTTGTAAGATTGGGAACTACGCTTCTATGTCGGAGATTCTTCATACCATGATTGCGTGGAACCATTTGCCGAGTATTTATACTTACCAGGAGATTATCAAAGGGTTGTGTAAGAATGAGAAGCAGAGGGAGGCGTTTTGTGTGTTCAATAATCTCAAGGAGAGAGGCTATGCACCTGATAGGGTTGTGTATACGACTATGATCCATGGGTTGTGTGAGATGGGGTGGTTTGGGAGTGCGAGGAAGCTTTGGTTTGAGATGATAGAGAAAGGGATGAGGCCTAATGAGTTTACTTATAATGTGATGATACATGCACACTTGAAAAGAGGTGAAGTTGTGTTGGCTAGGGAGCTTTATAATGAGATGCTTAGAAATGGGTATGGAGAAACAACGGTGAGCTGTAATACGATGATCACAGGGTTTTGCTCGTATGGGAGAGCAGACCAGGCGTTTGAGGTTTTCAAGAAAATGGGTGAGACAGGGGTTAGACCTGACGCAATCACTTATAACGCTTTGGTTCAAGGGTTTTGCAAGGAGAATAAGGTTGAGAAAGGGATTAGTCTGTTCAAGGAGCTCAAGGCCTTGGGGCTGAAGCCTTCTGATAGGACTTATGCTGCATTTCAAAAGGTGAGGAATTTGAAGATGTCTGACACTGTTGCAGCTTCTTTAACTGAGATTCTAGAGGTTGCTTGAAAGAAGTACCTTGTGTGACTTAGAATTGTAACATTAGGTTGATTCATCAACAGCAACAAAAAGGTCAAGTTCATTTTCTTGAAGATTTGTATTTTTTTTGGGAAATATTAACTAAAATGGTTCCATTGAATGAACTATATCCATTTCAAAGATTACATACAAAAGCACAATATTCATATCCAAATTATTAAATGGTAACAAAGTGTTATGGTCTTTTTAAAGTCATGGTATCAGAGCAACTCAGCGATTTGTCACAGAGAATAAAAAGTTACATTACTACATGTATTATGAAAACAAGCAGTTTCATACAGTTATGAAACTTCGACATAGACATCATGAGAAAGCTCTTTTACAGGACTCAGGAATCACCGCAAGGGAAGGGGAGAGACAAGCCAAAGAATGTTCAAACTTCAAGGTTTTTCAGGCGAGACATTTTCTGAATCTCCTCGATGATCAGCTCCTTTTCCTCTTCGAATTGATCATCTTCAGAACCTGAATAAGTTTTTTTAATGTGATGGAATAAGTCTAGTTTAGAGTCTAATGTCTACAGATAAGTAGTGAAGAAGTAATTATTACCTTTACCAGGGGACAAGTTGTGAAGAAGTTCAAGTAACTTCTCATGGTTTCTTGCCAAAATGATTTTCACTTCTTGTGGCTTATTAGGATTCGCAACAAAGATCTGTAAGCGCACAAATACATACGGTTCATCAGAAACCTATTAACTGTTTAGTGAGCAGATAAACTGCGGTTTTGACAAAGTGAGACATGTTACCTTGAATATATGGAAGGCAGAGATTTGAATATTTTTGCTCGAGTCCTACTCAAACGAACATTAACCATCAAACTGATGAGTACGTGATAAATTAAGCGCAAAATATAATAGTAGATGAATTCACAAACTCATTGCTAACCTTCAAAAGTGTCATGATCACTTTCATATAACGAACTTCTAAGATGAATTTCTTCATTATGTGGGAATTTGGAGGCTCCAATAAGAAATCCGAAAGAAGCTAAATCAACCATGAATAGTTTCATTGTTAACAACATTATATAAGAGTTGATATAGAGATGAATGTAGCATCAGAAAAGGAGCAAAGGTTTATAGCAAACAAAACCTTCAACGATTGCCTTCTTGTCACATAATTAGATGATGTCAAAAACCTTTCATAAACATCAAAGAACTGAAATAACCATAAACAGTCCGTTAGCAAGACATGTTCATAATTTATATTTTCATTTCATTAAATTATTTATAGTCGAGTAATGCTTATGTTTCCCTTGTAAGCTTGAAAAAAAAAGATGATGGAGCAAACCTCAGGGTAATGAGAGGTGAGAAACTCAGAGACGACAGTGTCATGTTTTGTGAGAAGATCCTGCAAAGAGAGAGAGGTAACAAAGCGTTGAGTAAAAACAACAAAAATCCAAAACCGAGTCCCAAGTCAATAGTGAAAAAAAATCACCTTGAATGTTGAAAATGCATCAGAAGCAACATCAAAGTTTGGCAATTCCACAAATTTGAAGAATAACTCAAAGCAAGCAGACTCTAGAATATACCTGAAAAGGCACTACAACAAAATTAACCATGTGAAAAAGAAAATCCTGACCATTTATCTTCACTGAACTCACTAAAACCCCTTTGAATCACATCGAAAAACTTGAAAATAAAAAGTAATAATGGGTATTGTCTTACTTAGCAAGACTTGGGAACTTAATGCATTCCCTAAGCATACTTCCACAATGCAGAGCAATCTCCTTGTTGTCATAGCTGCTCATAAAGATTGAATTATCAGTAAGCATTCAAATCAAAGAAAACAAAACAAAAAAAGTCCAATCTTTCAAGTATTTACCATACAACCAAACAGTCAAGCAACTCGAAATGTTCTTCAAAGTATTGCACAAAGCAATAAGTCTCCCCAACTTTTTGCTTCAACAAGATCGACCAGCAATGCAGTAAATCTTTTCTTGTCTGCAAACATATCTCAACGGATTCATAACAGTTTTCTACCAACAAAGGAAGCAGATTGAAAACCTCTCCTCTTACTTACTTCCCATCCCAAAATGTGTAGCTTATGGATAACAAGAGAGATAACATCTTCCTTGCAAAACTCTAACGCTAACTGTACAGCTTGATCAGCATTTGGCTCAGCATCACCATCTCCAGATAGCATTCCTCTCAGAGATGAAAAATTCTTCTCAACTTCTTCCAAAGCCTACAATTATCAGAAAAAAAAACATTCTCAATTTCAGCGATTCCGAGTGAATTACAGTAAACAATCAACCAAGAGTGAATCTAGAATCCAACAGTAAGGCGTAAAGGTGAAAACTTTAACCTTCTCGAGGGATTTAACTTCGACGACGGTTTTGGTGTCAAGAGCCAAGAGGCTGTCTCTGATCGCCTTAACGACCTCTTGAGGCGTCTTAGGCCTTGATGGCTTGAAGAAGGAGAAAGACATGAGATAATTTAGATTTGGATTCCTTCTTGAGATTCTGAGCTCGCCGACGAGATCGTGGATCGGTAACTCATTCAATAGCTACGAGAAAAAGGCCGACGCTTTTTGATTCTTCTTCTTCTTACTTCTCTCTCCCTCGCTTCAAAGCTAGATGGTCAAATCAAATCATGCACATTTTTTTTTTTTCTTAATCATGATGTTAAGGCAAAACAAAACTTCTGTTTAGTTAACACTTTCACACACTGTAATTAATGCATGGTCTTTTAAACTCATGGGCTTTTGTTCCAATCTTGATCCATTCCATGTTGGCCCAATAAGGCCCAATTAACGTTTTCATAGTTTTTTTCAGTTGGAGGATATAATCAAGTGTTTTGCATTTTCAAAGTAGATATTGAGGAATATACAGTACATCTGAATTGCCGTGCTATAGATACAATGATTTGGTCACGCCTCAGATATCACATATCAACATAAAGTACAAATGTCGAAATAAAGCTTCTTGTTAATTTATTCCTCAAGAACAAAAAATCCAATATAGGGTTATAGAGTTTTAGATATCTATACTATATGCTTATGATTTGTCTACTAGACAGTTAAAAATGAAACCCTATAACCCAAACATATGTTGTGATTGCACAGGAGTTGGCTTTTGGTTTGGAGACACTGTCATATCAATGTGCCTTCTCCCTAAACTCCCATATTCTCTGCATCATCATCATCATATATTCCTCCTGTTTGCTCCCAAAAGTAGATTTTAGATATGTTCAATTGAAGTAGCTTAGTTATGTGACAATGAACAATTTCCCCTCTCCATTTTAGTGTTTCTGTGTATGTTTATTTATTATATATTATTTTTAGTAAGAGACTGAAATCTTATAGAGAAAAATTAATATCGTAAACTAGGTATACTGCATATATCAAAAACTATCATATGACATACAAGATCGTTAATTAATAAACTACAAAACAAATAAATAAGTTGATTTCGTTATTATTTATTGTTCTTTCAAAATCGCTAGTTTGAGTCGACACACATTTTGATTGTCATTACTATAGGGGCTTAGCAGGACAATCATCACCGGGTACATATATATATATATATATATATATATATATATATATATATATATATATATATGTATTAGTTAGATTAGACATATGAAGGAGTAGGAAACAGGTTATATAAAGCAAGTATGAATAAGCCCACAAGCCAAAGGTAAGATGAATATTCCATAGCATTGCACACACAAAAGTATTTATGATGGATACATGCATAGGTTATAATTTGCAGCAAAGAACCCAATTTCTTTTAAAAATACTAAATGGTTAACTAAATGAACTGACAATTAGTCAGTGCATCATATTGTTTAAGAGTTCCAAGATATTTGATAATCCTCTCGTTAGGAGCACTCCTAATTTCAAAATCCAAAGTGGATTTTCATTTTAGCACACCATATAAAATTTTACTTAAGGCAAAAACCCAAAACTAAGAGCATCCGCAATGGCGGATTCTTAAGGAGAATCCTTAGGAAAAAAGAAAAAGGGGTATTTCGGATTATGTAAGGGTATTTCAGATTTTTTCTTTAAAAAGAAAAAAACTGACCACTCACGAACCGCCACGTGTGCAGTGGAGCCCATGAATAGTGTAAGGATCAATCCTTACATAAGGATTTTTAGGATAAAATCCTTAACTGTTCATGGGACCCATTGATTATAAAATTAATATTTCTCTAAGGATTCCCCGTAAGGATTCGCCATTGCGGATGGTCTAACATGTCCAGTAATAAAACTGATTACAACAATTTCAAATAAGTCAGATGCTATTGACGGCTTAAGCAGAAGTCTAGAGGAAATGAATCTTTTGTACTAAACTGTACATGAAAGGATTTAAAAGAGAGGATCAAACACCTTTTGAAGAGGACAGGTGGTTCCGGGAAGAGGGACCATGATGGCCTCCATGCTTCACCCTTCTATCATCATCAGCTATCATATTAAAAGAAAAACGACTTAGCCAAATCTCTTGAAAGTCTCTCCATCACAAAAGTGTCACATGTAATAATGTTTTGTTGGATTAGCACAACATGACAAAGAGATGACGCATGCTTACGCAAACACGTCTCATTATTGTGGCAACTTTATAAAAATAACATTGTGCTAGAGATAACTATGTACTTGTGATTTGAACCCAAAAAAGAAAAACTATGTACTTGTGTTTGTATAGCGTTCGCTGCGGTTAAAGCATGTTATCATCGTATTTCTATTTTATTAAATTGTTGACACTGTTGGTTGGTTATCACTACCAAAAGATATATACTTGTGGATATAGAACTTGGTCCTAGCCAGAAACTTCATTAGCAAACAAAAAGGTCGAAATCAACTAAACGGAATTAAATACTGAAGCAAGTGTTGGTCCAGGAGTCGAAAGTATAATGCATGCATGTATGAGCCCTTTCAATGGAATGATTCTTGCGTGGAGAAACCATAAGGGTCCATCAGATTTTTTCTCCTCTTCTTATTACTTTAATTTATTATTATTAATAATGCTCAACGTAATCAAATTTCAAAATGAGTATTCTGATTTTATAAGGACAACATAACATAAGAGGCACGGGGAATGATTTACATCGAATAATAAATTGTCTCATATGTGCCCAACAACCTCATAAGAAAACGATACAAGTACTCTTATTATTACTCCTATCTATATTATTAAAAGAGAAGTACCCATATAAAATACCCCTGAGTTTTTCTAATTATTTACAATGTTATGCCACTGAAGTTATTAATTACCCTACCTTATAGGATTCTTTGTCTTTTCACTTTAATTAATGCATTTCCAAAATCAAATTTTAAATAAAAAAATTATGGCAACAATAATTAATAAAAATAGTTAATTTCATATATACCTTTGGTAATTAAATAAATAAATTATATAGAAATTGTTTTACTAATTTCATATACATAATAATTAATTCCAACATTAATTAACCTACCTTTTAGGATTTTTTCTTATTAATTATCTACATATCTTCAAATAGTTAATGAACAATATTTTTTTCGAAGATATATAATTATATTTTTATTATTTATAAGTAATAACTAAAATAAAAGTCACAAAAAGAAACATTTATATAATATATAATAAAAGATTAATATAAACATATCATGTTATGTATATTTTTATATAAATAATAGTTAAAGGTAAATTCATAATAATAAAAGTTAAAAAGTAGAAATATATAAGACCATAAATTTTAAATAGTAAATAAAACAATTTAGTTATACATTATCATAAAATTTTGATCCATAAAAATAAAATAAAAACATTTGTGCAGATATACGGGTCATATTTTTAAAATAAGTATGACACAATGATAGTTTATAAGATAAAATAAAATTACTCAATATAAACTATAAAATTGTGTGTTTAAAATGTCATTTTAAACAATATTTAAACGGGTAAATTTAGAAATATATATTATCAATTATAAAATATATAAAAACAAACACTTGCGCGGATCAAACATCAAACTTTTCGGTATTCTTCTGTCAAAATTAAACCCATAAGTAATTTGTAACCATTTAATTTATATTTCATTTTTTATTTTACATCATTTAGTATAAACCTAAAAATTAAAAGAAAAAAAAACACCCGCACGGTCGGGCGGGTCGTGGTCTAGTCTATTATATTAAAACAGAAGTCATGACTCACTTCATGTGTGATATTTTAGTTTGGACCATCTTTAGAGTTTTATTAAATTTTACATAACATTATAATATCTTTTCATATCTTTATTTTTTGTTTGAAATACAAATAAATAATTTTAAGAAAATTCTAACAAAATCTTTTAAAAATCTTTTAGAATCTTTTTCAAGATATAGTTTCAAAAATTATTTTATTAAAATTTTAATTATCATAAAATATAATTATCATAAAATATAATTAAAATTTAATTCATTTTTAATTTATAAACAAAAATTTAAAATTATGTAAAATACTTTTAACAATATCCCAAAATTTTGTTTATGTATTATGTAGGTACAACTTAATTAATTTTTACATAGATTTCAAATTTAGAAATAAAAAAAATATATAAATTAGTAATCTTACATAATAATGTTTTTAAAAATTATTACAAAAATACAAATTTATAAATTTTATATTAATAATATTATAAGTCACATAAAAATGATTTTAAAATTGGATAGCATAAAGAATCAAAGTATACTTATTTATTGATAAATTTGATTATATAATTTCAAATATTTCGTATTAAAATACCCGCACGGTTGTGCGGGTCGAAATCTAGTTTAAATTAATAACACTACTGAGTATTAAGATTGATTCTGGATTTGGTTTTTGGGCTCGAGGTACATCTTAATCTTATACGCACTGTCTCCTTTTTCCACATGCACTTCTCTTTTAGGTGGTGTTATTCAATCATGTATTTTAAAAAAGTTTAAATCTTAATACAATCCACTATTATTCAATTGATGATTTTAAATTCTATTTCAAAATTCAGTGTTATTCATTCTATGATTGAATTTCAGGTTTTCAAATCTGGTGTTATTCAACTTTTAAGGATTTTAAAATTCTTTGTAATATAAATGGATTTCAAATCATCGGTGATGTATTCTAATGAATAAATGATTAAACTCAAAATCCAAGGGGTATCCCAAGGATTTTAGAATCTATCAACTTTAACAATCTTAAAATTTAAAAATCTGATAGATTGTAAATCTATCTTATTAAAACAGAAGTACCAATAAAATATACCCCTTAGTTTTTCAAGTTATTTACACAACAATACCATTGTATTTATTAATAATCCTAATTTTTAGTAATGTTGTCTTTTTCAGTTAACTTAATGCATTTCTTATATTGTTTATTAATTTTAAAAACAAAATCATTTTTGGATATCTCCTAAATTTTCTCATATAACAGTTTATGCAGTTCTAAAAATATAGAAGTTTAAATATGAAAATATTAAAAGTGCATAATAACTATAATTTACATATTCAATCACGTTGGACCATTTAATAACATATAGTAAACCTTTTTAAATACTGATTTCAGTTATCATTAATGCTTAAAAATGTTATATTAAACAATAATTTAATACATATATATTTTAAAATTATATATTATTATATATAAAATAAATAAATATATTTGCAAA